AATTGTGGGTAATAGACAATGCCGGCATCGAAACTAGTCCTAAAAGGGCACAAACTGTAATAGAACGAACCAGGGGGATTGGTCTTCCCTTAGAATTTATCTCCTGCTCTCTATGAAAGTGTCATCCTCTTTCTCCTCATAAGAATTGTGTGTAATAGACAAGGCCGGCATCGAAATGAGTCCTAAAAGGGCACAAACTGTAATAGAACGAACCAGGGGGATTGGTCTTCCCTTAGAATTTATCTGATGCTCTCTAACAATGTGTCATACCCTTTCTCCTAATACGAATTGTGGGTAATAGACAATGCCGGCATCGAAACTAGTCCTAAAAGGGCACAAACTGTAATAGAACGAACCAGGAGAATTGGTCTTCCCTTAGAATTTATCTGATGCTCTCTAACAAAGTCTCATCCTATTAAAATTGTATTATTACATTCTAAAGAATATAATGAAGAGAACACCAGTAAATGCCTCAATATCTTAAACAGCATTAGTTTTGTAAGTCTCAGTGATAAGACATAAGAATAATTATGCAAATCATTTCATATTTTAAAGCCATTAAAAAAGTTTTATAGCCGTCTTAAAAGGGCACAAACTATAATAGAACGAACCAGGGGGATTGGTCTTCCTTTGGAATTTATCATATTCTCTCTAAATAAGTGTTATCTCTTTTCTCCTCATAAGCATTGTGAGTATTCAGCAAGACCGGAATCTACACGAGACCCAAAATGATACAAAGTGTAATAGAATGAACCAAGAGGATTGGTCTTCCCTTAGAATTTATCTCATGCTCTCTAACAGAGTGTCATCCCCTTTCTCCTCATAAGAATTGTGAGTATTCAGCAAGGCCGGAATCGACACGAGTCCTTAGATTTTTATTGCCCCAGGAGACAACAGCACTCCGAGAGGGGTGATAATATAAGCGGGTGTGTGTGTGTGTGTGTGTCTCCCTAATCATTTTCTCTCGATATTCATATATCATAGTAAAATACTGCGCGTTTTCCGCTTCGTAATGTGATGAAGAAAACTGAGTATGATTTTTGGCCGGCTATTTTTCGACCGATTGAAAATAAAATTTCATAGAGGTTTACAATTACGGTATTAAGACGGCATACCATATTTAATTTATTTAATTCATTACATCTACATTTATCGCGCATACATGCACACCAATATATAGACCGATTGACTGTCAACTCGTTGACAGATTTGGACCCAAATTTTATACAGATCTACAATTCAGACAATAAAATAGTGAATGAAATTTTATTCATTTAGCTAGATATGTTTTTGAGTTGTTGTGCATAAATAAGACGATACAGACAGACTTCCCATCGACGTTTTTTGTCCAAGAGTTAACAAAAATCTATAATTTTGGGTGTCAAGACAAGATAAAAAATATCATTTTTTCAGCCGAAACAGTTTTTGAATTATCATGGCCATAGACTGATAGACAGACATAATTCCAAAAATGTGTTTTTTGGACTATGGGAGATTTAAATCCAGTTAATTAATCAGAATCTTGCTGTCGAATTCTGTAACGATTATAATACTTTCTCCCTGTATACTTTGTACATGACAAAGTAAAAAAGATAACATTTGAATCGTATCATATAACTTTTTGATTAAGTTGTTCTATTAAATTACCACTGAAAAGTTTTCACTTTCTAAATACTATACATTGAATTCCTCATCCGGGTTCTTCTCAATAATAGTAAAAAAATTATAATGCTATCTGGAATGACTCAAAAATTATTGTAGTTCAAAGCTGTAATTTAAAACACTTTATCGTGATCATAATATCCGCTTTCATCAAGTTTAAATTTACAACTAAGTCATAAGCACAAGTGTTCATGCTGCAGTCTTACATTGTTTAGTAATTATACCGAAATGAAAGCGATATTTGAGTTTACAATATACGGCTTTCCACGAAATTAGTTTATTAAATATATCAGATATGAACTAATAGAATAAATTGAACCTAGATCTTGAAGCTACCCTCATATCGTGTTACCAAGCAAATTTAATTATACGTTAATGTGATAAATTTATCAAAATAATATTAATTTATCAGAATAGTATTAATAGCAAAAGTAGTATTCGATTCTATAAAGCCATAAATTATCTATTTTTCCTCTTCTATATGAAATCTTCTCATTTCTCACTGAAAAAAGAGTGCATGATGGAACATTTAGTTTGTTTGGTTTTAGAGTCTTCTCAAAAAATGAATTTCCTTTTTTCACTTATCTTATCTCTTGGATCACATTCTGCATTTAAAAAATCCATGCTTGTGCTGAATTCGAAGAAATACATTTGCGTTTGCGCACTTGAAGAAAGGATTTGAAGTTAACTTATTTATTATGTAAATGTCAGTAAATTATTTTACATTGTAGACAAAGAATTGAAAAAGGAATATAAATATCTAAATGGAAATTTCTTCTTCGAATTTAGTCAAGCTATTCAAAAATTCCATTTTTTAAACTTAAAGTAAGATTTTCAAATCGATCAAATGACTAATTTCTTTTCTCAAATATTTACTTCGAAGCCAGTTTCTATATAAAAAAATAGTTTTTAATATTTTTTGATAAAATTTCGTTCGTAAAATATAAATAAAGCACACAATTTTACCGAGAAAAAAGAAATTTGAAAATAATTCACTTTAAAGCAATTAAATGTGTTATTTAATTTTCCTATTTTTAAAAACTCTATTGAATATTTCATGAGTTTACTGAAACATTTTTCAGATTTCCTTAGATTAAATCATTCCTAAAAAATATAACTGAAGTCAGAGAATTTCGCATCGAATTTGAATCCGAACACATTTAATCCCTTTATAAGCTTCAAAGCATTGGATCTGTTGAAAGCATCATTTCGTCTAATATTCTTTGTTATCATCTATATCATGGTTATTAAATGTATTTTCTGCAAATTTTTATTTTCACAAATGTATGTTATTCCTGATGAGCTCGTTCATATGTGCGAGTAAGGGAAGTGGCGATCCCGAGGTACCTGAGCTACCCAGTGCTATGAGGTATATCCTGGCATCGGAGATAAGTCAGTCTTGTACCTTTGGTGCTCCAGACTTTGGCCACAGGAACTGCTCTTTTTTAAATGTGATCTTCCTTTTGTACAATTTTTTTAAAACTCTATTGAATGTTCCATGACTTTACTGAAACATTTTTTCAGATTTCCTTAGATTAAATCATTCCTAAAAATATAACTGAAGTCAGAGAAATTCGCATCGAATTAGGCTTTGAACACATCTAATCCTTTTATAAGCTTCAAAGCATTTGATGTGTTGAAAGCATCACTTCATCTAATATTCTCTTTTTATATATCATGATTATTAAATTTATTTTCTGCAAATTTTTGTTTCACTAATGTATGTTCTTCCTGATGAGCTCGTTCATATGTGCGAGTACGGGAAGTGGCGATCCCGAGGTACCTGAGCTACCCAGTGCTATGGGGTATATGCTGGCATCGGAGCTATGTCAGTCTTGTACCTTTGGTGCTCCAGTCTTTGACCACAGTAGCTGCCCTTTTTCCGCATCCATGAGTGATTCACCCTTCGATATTCATAACGGTGCATCACTGGTATCAAGTTTCTCGACCAGGTGGCTGTCTATCAAATGACTACAACAGACGCGACCAAAAAACTCTTACTCGCTTCCTTAGTGGGCATATCAGAAGTTTGGCTTTTGAAGTGTTTGAAGCGACTTTTTGAAGTGTTTTGAGATCTGCCCAAAATGTACTGGAGAACAGGCCACACCTGATCATATTCTTGCATGCCTGGGGCTTTCCTAACAGGATCTTGATTCTAATCCTCTGTTGACTTTGGATTTCTTTAGGGTGCAGAGGCACATGGACCCGATATAGCTCTACTGAGCTTCGGGGATCATCATCAGAAACAACAGCATGAATGTTTTTCAAAGATGATATAAATCCTTGATTTTCTATGAAAAATTTTAATGCACTATTTCAATTGTTTAGTATGGAAATATGTTCAATGTTTTAGTAAGTAAACACGATGACCGAAAGTTGTTCTTCTTGGGTGGACTAGACCTGACATCGACTGAGATGTCCACTAGGTCGGAATCGGTTCCGAAATCTACAAATTACACTTGGATACACAAAGAAGACACTTTGCAGCCGTTTTCTATTCACCAATGTCTGCTAAGCGTTTTCTTGAATTATCGTTAAAAATTCGTCTGTTAAATTTATCCCGAGAAACTTAATGTTGCGGAGGCAAGAAAGTCTAATTTTCCATTCCCAATCTTCCAATTGTTTTTCTGAATTCGACAATCACGTATCTTGACGACATTCTTGCTGTTTTGAACAAATACCTTTTGTCTTGCTCCTTTGTATTTGAGGCTGCAGACTCATTCAGATTCAAATTGATTGCTAAGTTAAAAAATCATGACTAAAACAGAATGACCCTTGAATTTGATTTTTATTAATTTATTTTTTAGTAGATTTAAGTCCTCCGAAAAGTTTGCTCAAGGTTATAGTAACTGTTATTGCATCAAATTCAGAAAATATTTTCAAACTATTTTGTGTCTCAGCACTCAAATTTTAAACGGAGAGGGTTTTTAAGAAGTATACCAAGGCGGCTCTTATAGCCGAAGGGTAGGTTTTGAAAATGTCATTAATGTGTTCTAAAAGGCTTCATCGAGCGAGAGGCCTCAACTATCTTAAAAGTAAATCTAGCTGCAACCCCGTCTGATTTCAATGTGACTAAGACTCGCTATTAACATTACACGTATAGAGTTGGAATGGAAATAAGCATTTTTTTGAAGCGAAGCTTCTTAGCGCAGGCTAAGGAAGCATTTTTTGAAACATAGAAAAAGTGATCGTCACGAAACGGAAGGACGCCATTCATCAGCAGGCTCATCGTTGCGGCCTCGTATACCTATGCACTCGTAGGCTGTGCGTATAAACGTGTTGATACGGATGCGCGCATGAGTTCTGCATTTGTAAATAAAAGAGGGGAAAAAATTTAAAACACCGCCAGTCTGGATTCGAACCCTGTTTAACTGCTTGGAAAGCAGCTATGCTAACCGTTATACCAACAGCACTTCGCAAAAATCACTAGGTTCACGAGGTTCAATGTCCACTAGAAGGCGTTCTAAAAAATTCAAATTCATTTAAATGATTATGACAGGAATAAGTAGATACTAAAAATTTAGATTAGAAAACTACATATTTGTTGTAGCTTAGCTTAGTTAAATTACCTTTTCCGGTTTGAAGATATATGAGCTCTATTTTCTGACGGATCACACTATTTCGAACCATGATGAGGTGAGGAAGAAGACACTTGAGCTGGAAAACTTTCCAAAGTTGAACAGCTTGAATTTCGATTAATTTAAAGCTCTTCAAGCCTATGTACACTGGGAATACTCCACGGCATTAAGTCTTGAACCCAAAACCTCTTCTCAGGAAAACGAGACTCCATCTCCCAAGACGCGACCGCTGCATCCTGAAGATTGCTAAAGAATTACCAATATCCTACCTGAAGTAGATAGATGAGCATGCTCTATACAGGTGTTTCAGACAATATATATTATTATAATCCGAGCAAATCATACATATGAAGTTTTCATGACTCATGATAATCGATCATATTTATATCAAGTTTTCAAAAATTAAACAAGGACATTTTATTGTTTTATAAACTGATTTTTGAGCTTGCATAGCTTGATAAAGTTAAAATATAAATTACAGAGGAAGAGTGGAGAGTAAAGTAATTTCACACAATTTGGCAAAACAAACTCTAAAATTCTATTGTTGATTTTTTTTAAAGAAACCTAAAGAAATATGTTTAAAAAAGTGATAAAACTTTCACGAATAAGCAGTTCTTACCCTAATACAAAAATATATTTCATTATTAATTTTAAAATTCATTTATATTTGTGATTTCGCTCCTTCTAATTAAACAAATTTAACATCAATGTCACTTTCAAGATTTTAATATAAATTTCAGCTTAAATTTTGGGGTCGTGTTTGGGTCTTTCGCTCAGAAATGGAACGCAATTGATTTCTAAGAAGAGCGGAATGTTTCGCTGATATACATACACATTCGCAAAATATACCGGTGAAAATATTTTCTCAATGATATACCAGAAGATATACCTTACGTCTCTGTTTGTAATGATAGAATTTTCAACAATCTAACGGGGTTTGCATAATGATTTACTTGAATCTGAGCATGCACTGCGTCTACGCATATAGATCTCCAGTTAACGTACAAGGGTTGCAAGTTTTCGGATCGTCTATGTTGAATGCTATTTTAATGAACTTGCTAGGTGGATTTGATGCTAGGAACGCTTCCTATTTAAAAGATTTATATAATTCACAACATTGGGATCAAATAATCATTTCTATGATCCTACTAACTCATATAAAATTCTTCAGTAACGGCTTTCCCTAATTTTACGTATAAATTCTCCTGAATTTTTTATTCTCCTATTTTCAGTATGTAATCCATAAAACTCAGTAAACTGGTTCACTCTACCATTCACAGAACAGTGACAAAACGACATGGCGCTCTCGTGGTGGAAGCTAAAGGTTAACGCTACACAAATTCATTTCGAAGGGAGTTGATAGGTTGTTGCGTTAACTCTCGAAGCTAACTTTGGAAGTTTAATCTCTTTATGATCAGTCATGCATAAGCTCAGGGCCGCGTGGCCTAATGGTTAGATCTCGGCTTCGGGCCCAAGTGCTCCATGTTTGAAACCCGATTGCACCCGAAGTCCGCTGTGTATGTATCCAGTTGCGCGCTAAATCACATTTATGGAGGAAACACCCTACTGAACGTGTGGTGCAGAATTTTGAAGAAAGGGGTGGCAGTTAAGTGTTACCCTCGTCTGACCTCGGTACAAAATGACGGAGCCCTCGTGCTGCTTCGGGTCTTTAATATAAATAAGCTCTTCTGATATTTATAGCCCACCAGATCCGAAATTTCGTAAATGTTCGAATATTCTTCTAAAATTAAGAGATGCAGATTTCACAACAAGATTATACAAGGGTAGATGCAATTTGAACCCTTTATTTGAGAATATTGACATAGGTTTAGTTAATAGCAGCAGCTCTCACATCGAGCAAGGCGGTCTAGAAATTATACTTTAACATCGAGGAAAGCCGCTTTGAGGTAGGGTTTCCAAAATTTCCTTCGAGTCCTACCACGAAGAATGTCAAAAAGAATGCTTTTTAAAAGGAGAATTAGATCTATGTTATGAATTCGAGGATATTTTCTTTTAATCCTTGAAATAGAGGTATCCAAATAGGATTGCCTAATATGTTTAACGTGTGAAATCAGATTCAATAGTTCGGTGGTTAGTTATCATGCTGCGTATTGAATTTTAGCATTTTGACGAAAGATACAAAATACAACGACGTTTTTTCTCGAATCGTTATCAAATTCTAACTGGTAAAAGATATGGGAAATTCCATATCAGGCATTTATTTCTACTAAGAGGAGGATTTACAATGTTTAATCTATACAAAGTTTTTAAAGTCTTCTGTGTCCAGTATGTCTGGGAACCGTGATGGCCTTCTGGTAAGGTCTCACTCTCGAGGCCTGACAATTCCAAGTCCGAAACCCTATTCACCGAATCCTCTGCGCCAATCTGGATCCATTGCACGCTAAATCATGCTCAGTATGTCAAAAGACCTTCTGCTGGCGTGGTGTGGAAATCTGAGGAGAGGAGCGCCAGTGCTAGTGCTCCATCATTTGATCGAGGTTAAATGCGACGAGATGCGTCGCAAAATAACTTTCGGAGTGCTTCGAAACGGGACGTTAAAGTAACTTAAACAGAACTCAGAATAGTCAGAGCTTAGCGTTTGGAAATAAAAATATTATATAAGTAAAAGTTCGATACTTTTTCAGTAAATTGATTTTCTTTTAATATATTTAAAATAAAAATAATAAAATTTTTGAATGTCCTACATCTTGAAAACATACAAAAATATAGGATATGTTTCAAATGTAAATAGCAGTTTAAATTATATTGCCAACCAGAAGTAAATGACTTTGAATGAAGTAACAGATACATAATGGCTATAAATATTATAGATTAAAATTTTATACAAATATAATAAAAACAATTTTGTATATGAACACCAAAATTTGAAAAAAATATAAAAATTATAATGAAAAATTTGCATTTTTGTGCATATATGTATATTTTTTTCATAGGAGTAACTAATAATTACATTTTTAGAAGTTAATTTATGGGCTTTCGGATTTTCAAACCTATACATTTCTAAAGTCGTTGAAATGTTTAAATATTAGGAGGTTAAAATTTAAAAATCTACTTCTTGACGATAAAAAACGGCTCAGTTTCTTTAAGATATAAGCAGCGTTTGTTCAAATACTTGCTAGCAATATCAGTATTTGTTTGAATAAAATAGCTGGAAATTGTAAACATTCCGTAATAATCATGCACAGAATTGCACAACAATCTCTATTTTTTATTGTAGAACTTTTCCTATTATTCACGAATCACGCTGCATCTACATCAAAATGTAGTAGATAATTGGAATTATTTGGAATGGATGCACAGAATTTCACAACAATATTTTGTTTTCCATAAAGCATTCTTTAAGTTTTGTAACTTACATTATATCCAAGTCAATATTATTGTGTCGATAATTGTATACCAAATTACATTAAAGACATCTAAGCACTTTATTGTATAAAACTGATAAATTTCATCAGTTCATATAAAAACACTGGCATTAAACTGCTGGCTTAGCTACTATTAGGGGAGAAAAAATTATACCTATTTGAATGCTAACAAGGGGACGGTACGACTTGATAAATTTAGTCCGGGATGCGTCTTGGTATATAAATAGTATACATTTAGGGTGTCCATCCAAAAATAATAAAGCGCAATAGCCAGCCAATTCGGAGAAAATATCCCTTAAACTTTCAAATCAATTTTTATTCCCAACACACCAATAAAAAGAAGGGCGATAAAAAATTTTGTAAAATATCATTAAAAATCCCACAAAAGAGCATCAAAAATAGATCCCGTTGTCTCTCACCAGTCTAGAAAACAATAAAATCCGTCTAACTATAAGTCGGTCAAACAATAAAAATACAAGGTAAGACTATCAAATTTTAAAAACAAGAATAGTAGAAACAAGGTCTGTCAACACATAGACCTAATAATAAAGAAATCGGCTGGATATAACAAAATATTTGATACTGAAGCTAGCTAAATTAGTATGCAACATAAAATCTCTTTGCAGCAAGCAAGAGTATCTTTTTAATTTATGTAATAAATTATTACTAATTAAAATAAACCTTTCACTAAATTTATTTCACATTCGAATTTCTGTTCTCAGTTATTTGTTTAGAAAATTTACTTCATGTGCTTCTCAATAATTCCTAGCAATTCCTTCTAAATCCTATTATTTAAGTTTCTTCAGTGAAGGAATTAATTTCTGAATGTTTAAAATTAAGTATATGTTACGTAGGGGGCATAAGAATTTTATAAATGATTAGGTGGAGTATAGAACTGAAAAGATTGTGAAACACTGAGTTAGAATGAAAAATCATGATACGAAACCTGTTGAATGTATTTAGATAAATACTTAACATCAACCAGCCGAAAACTACACGTGTCGAAGAAATCATAAGCTTACACGGCATAATTAGTTTTCTTAAAATATAAAACATTTTGTTTGCGAATATGGAAAAATGCATGTTTCAGCATCAGTAATATTAAATGGAGTTTGAGTGCATTAAGTGATAGAAGTGTTAACTGCATTTCAGAGAACGTGTTTAGCAGAAGTGTTTTTGTTTCCCACCACTGTGAAATACAACAGAAACAATATTTGAGAAGGTAATGAAAGCGGTGCTTGCTATTAGTACAATTCAAGATGCTGAAGCTTTTCTTGACAAGGCGTATCAGCGAGGATGCCTTCAATATTTGAAATGAGAAGGTCAATTATTGCTAACAAGCGCAATTGCTTTCAGATAGTATAAATCTTCACATGCAAAAAGAGATAAAAACAGTTGTCGTTCGAGCCGTAAATTTTTCGTGAAAACGTCGGGATAAAATCATAAAAC